GAGGACAAAGGGAGGAGCTCCGTGAGGGGAGCTGGGAGGCGGGTGGTGGGAGGTGAGGTGAATGATGGGCACCCCTGCATGTGACCTTTCAGCCATGGTTGGGAGTCTGGATTCTAGTCTGGGAATGATGGGCATCTCTTGGTGCTAGGCCAGGAATGGTGTGACCTGACCGTGGTTTAGCAGGCTGTCCTGTTAATTCTCACTTAGCAACACTGACTGTGTAATTGGTAGATTCATCTAATAGCCATGAAATGTTCTGTGTGTGCGTGAAGCAAACAAGAGCGAGACAGAAGCTTTTGAAGTCATAAAGAAACTTCTGCCCATGGGCCTCGAGGCCATTAGCAGGACAGTTGGGGGAGGCTTGTTTTAACATCAGGAAAATAGCTCAGAGAAATTCAAGACCTGGCTGTCAAAGGAAGAAGGGCCCTGCAGAGAGAGTGCTGGCTGTCCCCTCTTGTGGGGGGATCCAGCCAGGGAGTGAAGGGATTCTTCAGTGGAGGGGTCTTGCTCCCATTTGTCAGCCTGGCCCTCCATATTCTGGGGTCCCACACATTTGTTTCAGAGTCTTTCCAATTATCTAGAGAGCAGAGCTCATAGGAACGTATTCTGGTGGGACCTGAGAGAGGTGAATCCATTTTCCCATTTCGGTGTCCTGAGCCTGCCGTGGGAATCTGCCCCCTCTCCATTCTGAGGCCCCAGGCTGTGGGTTAGGTCAGGATTACCTCTCTTTTCCCTGGGCTCCAGGACTGGAGTAAGACTGCACAGCACTTCCCCGTGTGCACACCCCGCGGGGGCTGAGGTAAGGCAGGTATGTTGTAGCTGTGAGGGGGCCTGCCAGCTGGGCCAGGAAGCCTCTGAGCCAAGTCCAGCTGCCTCTGAGGCTCTTGGCAGCATTGTCCCCTGCACACCACTTGGAGCATCATCCAGGTGGTAGGAGGACCAGGATGGAGGATGCAGGTGTCCTGGGGGAGCATCCTTGGCTACCCACACCCCTGCCCCAACATCATCTGCTGCTGCCACAGCCACTGTGAGGGGGAAGGAGCGGAAGATGGTCCAGGAAGTGCCACAGGGGTGATTAGCTCAGCTCAGAGCTGTCCCAGGGCCCCTGGGCACACCACTCCCTTGCACTCCCAGGGTGGTTCACCTTCATTTGCAGAATGTGTGTGAAATGGGGTGAAGCTGGGCTTTAATGACACAGTCCCAGAAGGCCCAGGCTGGTGCTGGAAGCAGCCAGCTGCCCAGGACCTCCCTGCCAAAGGCCAGCACTATGGCTTAAGTCCCCCCCATGAGGGACCACACTTAATTTTGGACTGAGGATGAGCTAGTCCCCAGGATGTGAATGTGGCTTTATTTAGATATAGTGCTTGCAGATGCAATTAGTTAAGACGGGGTCACATGGGTGTAGCTGGGGCCTGATCCAACATGCCTGGTGAAGCAGGACCTTTGGACACGGGCCCACACAGGGAGGAGGCCAGGCGAGGATGGCAGGAGATGCAGGCTGATGTTCTACAAGGCTGGGAACAACAGGGCTAGCCAGAAAACCACAGGAGCTGGGAGAGAAGTGGGGAATGGACGCCCCTCACACCCTCAGGACCAACTCTAACACCTTCAGGCTCCAGCTCTGCGAGATATGTTTCTACTGCTCACATTTCCCAGGTTGTAGTCCTGTTAGGACCACATTCCTGCACGGGAACCTGAGAAGCAGAGAGCAGGTGCCTCCCCAGAAGGCCAGGTGGCAAGGGGAAGCTGGCTCTGTGCTTGCTTGGGCCTCCAGCACAGGATGGGAGACTTTCTTCTTGGCAGCCTACAGGGGGCGTAAGTGAGCTGGCAGCCAGGTGTGAGAAACAGCAGTGTCACTTTATTCACATCCCAAAAGATGCCCTGTAGGGACTTCAGCTCATTAAGACCTTTGCACATGGCTGTCTGGAAGTCTGGGCACATAGATCACATTAGGAAACTTGTCACAGTGGCACCTTCCTGTTGTTTTGAGGCAACGACCTCCCGTGTTGGCTTGGGAGGTGCTAAAGTGATACTCTGCTAATGGTCTTGGGAGCACAGGGTCCCTCCGGCTCTATCCCCTCTCCCCTCTTTGAGGTGGAGACAAGCTGGGGAGAAACGTTTCTCTAGGACAAGAAGAGCCGCGAAATGGGCACCCACGGGACTGCCATTCACAGCCAGGAAGACCTGGGTCGGGAGACCCCTACCCCTGCTCAGTCCAAGTCCAACCAGAAGCCCTTTTGCCTGGGTCTGGATCAGCAACGGAGAGTAGAAATCTAGGTCATTTTAGGTGAAAGGGGCAAGGTTTTTAAATGTTAGCTCAACCTTTCTCTATTTTGAAACCTGTCTTATTGCCTTCTGTAAAACTTATGGCTCTGCAAAAGATGTTTGTCATTAGTGCCCGCCCCCCCAAGTGGGTGAGGTCTTTGAGAGGGGCTGTGGTCACCTCTGCTCTATGTCTGTTGCTCACAGTCCCTCCTGGCACACAGCTGCTCAGGAAGTGCTGGTGAAATAATGGAGGATCCCGCCTGCTGTGTGCCTCCGGGACTCCACCAGCTTCTCTGTGTGATTGTCAGGCTGCAGGTGAGACAGGGTCTAGCTTTAAGCTTTTGAACCCAGCCCAGTGTTACTGTGAGTGAAGACGAAGGCTGGAGAAAGACAGAGCACCCTCCTGGCTCCCGCTCGGAGCAAGGCTGCGCTGTGGCTCCTGAACAGCTCCGGCTTTCCACCATCCATCGCTCAGTGTGCTTTTAGGAGGGAATTACACGTGTGATTTATTTGCAAATCCTTTCCGGTCCTGGAGGAGAGATGCTTAGCACACAATGCAGTTTGTCATCAGATGTCAACATCCCCTCCATGCAGACAGCAGCATTACACGATGTCAGGGTGTAATTGGATTGTGCTGGATCCTCAAATCTGCATTTTCATTTACCAAAAGCCACTGCACCCGGAAAGCCATTTGCAACCGATGCCAGCCCCTGGGAGGGGTCAGCACGCAGGGAGACAAAGATCAGCCATGACGCTGCTGAATGCACGTTTTATATTTACAGTAGGCAAGTTTATAAATATATATTACATTCTTACAATCTACAATACATTCTACACAGAGATGGACTTGGGAGTGGGCAGTGGCTGCGGGAGTCAACGGAACGTCTCAGGGGAAGAATGGCGAGAAACAGGAGCAGGGGCAGAAAGCAAAGGACTGTCATGGGAAAGAGGTGACGGTGAGTCACCCAACTAAACAAGGCGAGAAAACTGGGGACAGGAGCATGTGACGTACTGGCTGCAGGGATCCCAGTGTCAGAGCTGTTAGCACCACGGTTGGAGGGAGAGTGCCAGGGCTGGAAGGGTGGCCTGCTGGGACCGACACATGTGTCACACCATGGGAGTTCGACTACGTGGCAGGGAGAGAGAAAAAGAGGAGGCGGAGGAGAGGAAGGAAATAGAGACCCATAGAGGAAAGCAGCAGGAGGAGAGGAAGAAGAGAGTGCAGAGGACCAGCAAGAGAGTTTGAAAAAGAGCTGAAGAACAGAGAGAGAGAGAGAGAAAGAGAGAGAGAGAGAGAGAGGGGAAATCGCACAGTTGAAAACACAGAGAGCGAGAGCTGGCTCCACAGCCTCTGCTCTATGTCTCTGCTCTGTGGCCTCCGCTGCCACCTCCCCTCCACCTTCTCAGGTCCTGCCCCGCTGGGTGCATCCAGCCTGCCATTCTGTCTCCATGTGAGATCGGGTGAGGCTCACTCCACCCTCACAGGTCTTTTATCTGAGGGTCTTCCCAGAGCCCTTTGGACATTAAGCAAGGGTAAGCCTCCCAGGGCCACCTGGAGGACCGCGACCTAGTGCCGCCTCCTCCTCCCCTGCACGCCAGGCCTCCCTCTGCCTCTCCTGGGGAGGAAGCCCGCGGGCTGACCAGGCCCATGCAGGCCCACCTGCCTGCTGCCTCCTCTCACAGCTGGTCCTGCTCTGCACACCCTGCTTATGATACTCGGACCCCAGAGCTCTATTAATGGCCTGATGGCAAGTGGCTGGTGGAAGACCAAGGTGAACAGCATGGGCCCATCGCAGAAGGGTCCCCTCTTCTTTCTAGCTAAGCAGCGAGAGGAAGGAACCCACCTCCTTTGGTGTTGAATTCACTGCCCACTCCCCAGGGACCAGGCTCCCCCAGGTGAAGCATGTCCCGGGCTGCTCTGCCGAACTTCACCTGGAGTTGACACAAAACCCCAGGGAGGGGACTGAGCACATGCTGGAATCTGCCCACCCCTACCCCAGATGCAGGTGACCAGCAGCTTCTGAAGGTGGAGAAGCAGTGAGGAGCAAGATCTACAGAACAGACTTGTGGAGAGAGCCTGGTTTCTCGACCCTGAAATTCTGTGCCCAGTGTCCTCAGTTTACCCAACAAGGATGGCTCTGGAGTGCTGGGAAGAGCGGTGGTGTTTGTCTTGGCGAGTTGTTACAAAGTTATCTGTGGCCTATAAACCTCTGTTTGCCTTTCTGTCCTCGTCAGCACCTGCCTGGGTCTGTGGATAACCCAGGCAGCTTCAACCTGGCCCTTGGGAGGTGGCCACTCACAGCCGTGCCTGCCGTAGCTGCCGGACACTCGCTGGTGCCCATGGTCATGCTCACAGCCAGGCAGCTGCACCCGTGGGAGCGCACACTTCTCCCATTGATTTGGGCACGTACAACCTGAACCTGGCTTTACTTCTGCTGTCCGTCATGTGGAATTTTACGAAATCCAAATTGCTTCCATTAAACAGAGACACTGGTTTTTTTGCTGGAAATGCTCAGAAGCTCCGTGATTCACAGTCCTTTTTGCTCCAAGTTTAAAGAACCTTCCCCTGAGCAAGACCTGGTGGGCCAGGACGTGAGCCTCGAGGCTGGTCGGGCCTCCCCAGCCAAGCTGGGCATTTTCTGGACGGTGCCAACCTTCTCCTGTCCTGCCCCCTCCCTTCTTCCGGGTGCCCTCATTCAAGGCTGCAAGGTGGTATGCACAAGCATCGGGCCGGCTCACACGTCTTCATGGAGCCTCTCCACGTACTCCTGCAGCTCCTTGCAGCCCCCGGGGTCCAGGTCCTGACAGACCCACTTGATGTCGTCCTCCCTGCTCATCACGGTGGAGCTCCCCGCGGGGCACCCGTCATCGGGGGAGAGGGCGGTGAAGGTGGTAAAGGTCACTCTTTTCCTTTTCGAGGTAGGGGACGTTGGGGGCTCACTTTTCTGGTCTTTCCCGGCCGTGAGCACCACTCCCGTGGGTGTGAGCAGCTGCCCATTGATGCTTTTGTGGGAGCGCGTGCCCAGGAGGTACTTGCTCTCCTCCACGTCCAGCTCCCGGTCCACGGCAGTGATCTGCTCATCCTGGGAGGATGCAAAGTTCATGTGGTTCTCCAGCAGCTCTGCCCGGTTGCTCAGCCCCACCCAGTCGTGGGCGTGGCTCATGCCCTCCTGCTCCTCGAAGGGCACTTGTTTGTGCCTGTACTTCAGCGCAAAGGCCACACAGTTGATGAGGAAGACCAGGATGGCCAGGCAGAAGACGCCCAGCAAGGCGTACATCCCAATCTCCAGGTCGCTCAGCCCTTTGGATGCCTGAGCCGGGTCATCCTCCTCCGTCTCCACATTGCTTCGGGGGAGGTCGGCCGCGTCTGGGAAACTGGTGATATCCACAGGGATGGTCTGCAGGCGGCTGTCACCATCTGGTGGGCTTCCCTGGCCATCCTTCTTCTGGAAGGTGGACCTCTCGGTGGTGCTTCCTCTTCCCTCCATGAGTCCCATGGAAGAGCTGCCCAGGTACTGGCCTTCAGGGCTCCCCCATTCCTGCAGGGGTGCTTTGGACCTCCGATCCCCAACGTCACTTTCCAGGTGGACCCCTGTCCCCATGGGTCGGCCATCGCTGACATTGGGGTTAGCATCGTTCTGGCCAAACTTAACTTTGATGTTTGCCGTTCCCACAGCGAGCACACTCTTTCGCTTGGATTTCTGGCATGACTCACTAATGACCATCTCCACCTTGACCAGCGCTCCTTGTCCTTCCGATTCCGCAGCGATTATCGGCCACTTGAACCTGGGGTCTTGGTGGATGGAGACCACCTTTTCATCCAAGGACGTGGCCAGCAAGGAGAAGTCCTTCCCATCATAGATATCCAAGGGTGTGACTGAGCCATCACTGAACTGGACCCAGCAACTGATGGCCGCTTCCTGTTGAGTAAAACAGGTGAATCAGAATGGGCTGGAAAGCTCTGGAAAGCTTGCTGGCGGGTCCCAGTAAAGGGAAACAGCAGCCGAAGGGGTGCTACGGAGCAGAGGAAACCGCTGGAGTGGTGTAGCAAGAGGTCAGAGGTAGCCAGGGCACCTAGGATTCATACCCACAAAGACTCACAATCAAAACAAAACAACAAAATGGCACCCAGCTGGCATGCAGCATTGTGCACCAAGGTATGCTTCCCTGGAACGTTGGAGGGAAGATGGGCTGGTGGCTGCTCACTCCTGCACAACAAAGTCAATGGGGTGTCAGAGGTTGTCACTGGTTAGTGGGAGGCTTACGAGGGTGGCCTGTGTAAGTGGAAGATATTCATTCTGTTGTGTTTACATTGCCTTAAGGTGAGCCACCAGACTAAAGCCGAGCAGGGGGAGCGCTTCTAGAATCAGGGAGAGAAGCTTGACTTGGGGACAATCAGGATGGATCCTGGATCCTGAGGTCATCCCTCCTTGCCTTGGGCATAGAGAGAGCTAACCACCTGCGAGTGCCTCTAGGAAATGATAAGGGTCCATTTCTGAACAAGGAGGGAGCTTGTTCCACTTGCAAGGCCCATAAACAGCCCTCTGTGGAAACCCTTGTGTCAGCACACAGCCACACACACCCCTCAGCACGCACACACAGCCACACACACCCTCAGCTCACACACACAGACACACACAACCCTCAGCACGCACACACAGCCACACACACACCCTCAGCTCACACACACAGCCACACACACCCTCAGCTCACACACACAGCCACACACACCCTCAGCACACACACAGCCACACACACACCCTCAGCATGTACACACAGCCACACACACTCTCAGCTCATACAAACAGCCACACACACCCTCAGCTCACACACACAGCCACACACACCCTCAGCACACACACAGCCACACACACACACCCTCAGCATGCACACACAGCCACACACACTCTCAGCTCACACAAACAGCCACACACACCCCTCAGCTCACACACACAGCCACACAGCCTCAGCTCACACACACAGCCACACACAACCGTCAGCATGCACACACAGCCACACACACCCTCAGCTCGTACCATAGCCACACACAACCCTCAGCTCACACACACATAGCCACACACACCCTCAGCTCACACACATAGCCATACACAACCATCAGCATGCACACATAGCCACACACACCCTCAGCTCACACACAACCACATGCAAACATAAGGTGCCTTCACAACACACAGCACACCCAACACACTTGACACACATAGACACACATACACAAACACACACGTGCGTTCACTCAGACAACAAACACACAGCCCACACCCTGTTATCACACAAGGAAGAAAATCACCAAGGGTGCCATCTCGCTTGTCCCCTTCTCCTGGAGCTAAACAACTAACTGGGAGCACAACCCCTGTCTCCTTCCCAGTCCCCAGACCTGGTGCCCGGCTCTGTGCAGGGCCTTGGTGCAGACTGTGGTGATTCCCAAGGCTGCCCCTGCCCCTGTCCCTCCACGGCTGGAGAGGTCCCACCATGTCCAGTCAGGACTGTTTGGACGGAGCAGGAATGGGCATGTGAGACAGCAGGTGACACTGTGACGCAGGTGGACCAAGGGCTCCCCGTTTGCTTTTGTGTCCTGGTGGCTCTTAGTTTCACCTGCTGAAATCTTTTCTGCCTTGGTCAGAGGGAGCTGGGGGGCCCCAGGGGGAGCAGCCACCTGCTGTGTGTCCTCCTCTTCCGGGAAGCCCTCCTGCAGTGGACATGAACTGTTTGGCCAGGTGTCCACCTGGTGCAAAACCCACCTGACCTGGGAGGAGCCTGATACCTGCTCACCTGTTTGGGCCTCTGCAAAAGTTCCTGAGCCACCGCGGTGGCAAAGATGGCTCTGTTGCTCCCAGGGCTGAGCTGCAGGGACAGTGACAGTCCTGTCACCAGCTGCACCCCCAGGTCTGTGATGGTCACCTTCTCATCCAGCACGGTGATGGTCTTTTCAGCCAGGATGGCATCCGACAGCGGGGACAGGATCTAAAGGGCAGAAGCAGCATCGTCAGAAAGGGCTCCATGTGGTCCCAGGGACTTGTCCCCTGGCACAAGGATGCTCCACACAGGGTGGGAACCAGGACAGGAGAACGAGGATTGGGAGATGGGCCTCTCCCACAGGGGCCTTCTTCTAGAACAAATCTCTTGATCCAGTTTCCAGGCATCAGCGATCAGTGGTCAGATCTTTCAAGACCTTTGTCTTTGGTGGGAGTTGGAAGCTCTTGCCACAGGGAAGACGTTTGTCTGACATAAGTCATACTTGACGGTGGGATTAGTGGCCATTATTATTATTTTTTAAACCCAGAAGGTTTTATATAAAAGGGAGATTTCTGGTTCCTGGAAAAACTGCATTGGAAGGTGGCTCTGGGCCGGCAGCTCCTCCTGACGTCCCCTGCCACAGTCCTCTGTGCTCCCTGTTGTCTGCCCAACCCTAAGCTCCCCACTGTTTCAACAAGCACACCTGGCCTGCTTGCCCTTGCTGATGGCACTTTCTAGAGATTCTTGTGCATGTGACTCTCAGTCCACAGTCCAAACCCATCTACAGCTCCCAGCTGTATCAGATTCAACCGACGGTGATCAGCTGGGTGTGAACTGCACATGGGAGGACCCGTGTCTTCTCTGTGTTCCCTGAACTACACACAGAATGGCACTGAGTTCCACAGCATCCGCACCACTTTAAGGTCTAGGAGTGAACCAGAGATGGCGGAAAGAGTGGCAGGGTGCCCAAAGTGTATAGGCACATACTCTGCTGTGTGACATGCGGACTGAACTGGGGGAAGTCTTGTACCCTCAGAAACCCACCCCTGTGATTACCTCCTTGGATAAACTCATCTCTTTACCAGTCCATTTTGCAGAGTGGTTGAGTCCCAAATGTTCCATGTCCCAGTACCGCTGCAGCTCCAGGGTATCCCCGGGCAGCGCTGATTTGGAAGCCTCAGATTGCCTGGGGTGCTCCCCTCTCCTACACGGGGGGCACTGTTAGGGGATGAACTCATCCTTTGTTCCCAGCTGGGGGGTAAATGACCTAACCTGCAGAAGGCTCCCCGCATGGCCTCCCACCCCGGCCACTTGTACAAACCTTTCTTCCAAACCCCCCAGAGCCACTGGGGCTTGAACCAAGGACTCAGAACTAAGTAGGCCAGTGCTCCTCCACTGGGCTACGAGGTCCTGGGCTTAATCCCCAATGCTGCAAACCCCAAAATAAACTTAAAAATAAAGAGCAAATAAAGGATGGCTGCGTGGAGGGATCGGACATCCTAAATCCACAGGGAGGCCCGTGCAGAAGAGGGAGGAGGGAGGAGAGGAGGGGAGGACAAATGGTGCGAGCTCAACAAAATCTTGTTATGAGCACTTGTAAGTATACCACAGGGGTCGCACCTTCCCGGATCTGTGGAAAGCACCAGTGAAAACAGATAGATAGAGGAGCACAAGGAAGGTCAGGGGGTAGGGGAGGGAGGAAGGGCGGGCAGGGCCGGAGAGGCGGACAGGAATCAGTGTGCACATGTGTGATTTTGTCAGTGTGGACCCCTACCCTGCACAACCATGACGCTGCACTGTTTAAACCACCAGCAATGCCCGCGGGCCTCTCCGTGCCCCATTCCCTGCAGCGGGCACCTGCCCACAAGGCCAATGGCGTGATAGCCCCCTGCCGTCCCCACACCCCTGGGATGTTCAGGTGCCATCGGGTCAGAGGTGGGACTTGGCCAAGGTGGCAAAGACGTCATGGAGAAACGTGAAGCTTAGGCGGGGACGTCGGGAGGTGGAGGGTGGAGGCCAACGTGGGCCTGGCAGGTGCTCAGGGGAGGGCCACTCAGACCAAAGAGTATTTCCCAAGATCCAAGGCCAGTGTGACCCACGGAGTCCTTGCTTGTCCATGTCATTAAGGTCACCCCCAGAATGGAGTTTGCTCTGAGGAATTTGCTGAGGCAGGGACACAGAAGCCCTTGCCTCTGGGGATGTCCTACCTGAATGGTGGTCATCCCCAGCTCCTGCCCGGCCAGGACCAGCCCTCCCTGCAGCTTGGCGATCCTGGGCTCCTCCACCTGCATGAAGCCGCTTATGAGCTCCGTGATGTCCACTTGCCAGTCTGAGCCCAGCAGGTAGGCCAGGTGGCCCCCAGGGCTGGCCGCCTCGGCCACAAACTGCGTCAGGACGCGCACCATGGCGTGCTGGTACTGCAGGGTGCAGCCGCGGCCCCGCCGCTCCTCGTCCTCCTCCTCCTCACTGTCGCGAGCTGGCCTGTCAGAGAGCCAGTCAGTCCATCGGATACTTACTGGGGGCCAACTGCTTATGGCTGCAAATGTGATCCCCACCCCACCCTTGAGGGGTTCACCGCTGGCTGTGAGGCTCAGGCGCACACAGGGTGATACTGAGACTGGGCCATCGGGATGGCCTGGGTGGCAAGCAGGCTCAGAGGTTCCTGCAGGTGGGGCGCCCAGTGGCAGGTGGGACGTCCAGTGGCAGGTGGGGCATCCAGTGGCAGGCGAAGCCAACAGGAGGCTATTGGAGCAGAGACTGGCAGCCCTGTCCTGGACATACCTCACGGGGCCTTGGGTCCTGTCCTGCTGCACTGAGCTGCCCCTGCCCTTTCCCTCTGAGCCTAATCGCACTCAACATGGGTCTGTATTAGGGAGTCTGTCTCTCACCCAGGCATACACACACCCACACACACACACACACAGAGGCATACACACACACACAGGCACACACACACAGGCACACACACAGGCACACGCACACACACACAGGCATACACAGGCACATACACAGAGGCACATGCACACACACACAGGCACACACACAGGCACACACACAGGCACATGCACACACACACAGGCATACACAGGCACATACACAGAGGCACATGCACACACACACAGGCACACACACGCACACAGGTACACACACATAGGTGCACACATAGGCACATGAACACACACACAGGCATACACAGGCACATACACAGAGGCACATGCACACACACACAGGCACATGCACATGCACACACATACAGAGGCAGACCCACACACCAGCACACACACACACACGCACACACAGAGGCACATACAGAGGCACACGCACACACATAGAGGCACACGCACAGGCACACACATAGGCACACACATAGTTACACATACAGGTACACTTACACACAGACACACACACATGCACAGGCACTCACTCACTCACACACCTTTTGTTGGAGACGATGGGGACTCTCCAGCCCTTGATCTGGTTGAGCTCGGTGTCTGAGACCTCGATCTGCAGAGGGAGCCGGGGCACCCACACGGTCACCTCCAGAGGACTGCTCAGGTGCTGGTAGGTGAAGCTGACTACTGCGTTTACCTTGCCTTTCATCTCCTTCCCGTTGACGAAGACGTAGTCACACCTGTCGGAGACCTGGGAGGGCATGGGGAGAGACAGCGGGGCCAGTGAGCCTCCGCAGGACCTGTGGCCCGGAGCACGGGCGGGCAAGGGACTGTCGGAGACCGCCCTGGGAGGAGCAAGTTCCTGTGCAGGACAGGCACAGGCTGCTGCTTTTGGCAGTATGTCGCAGACGCTGTCACGAGGATGTTGTGTGGGCCATTGTGGATGTGACCAGCTAAGGACCTTCTATCCTCAGCTCCACTGGCAAATGAGCAATTGGCAAATGAAATCATCTAACATCACATGTATGTAAAGGGTACGACCTGATATCCTGGTAAAGAGGTGACCATAAAATGATGTCACAACCCAGCTAATTCACACCACCACCTCACAGCGACCTCTGGGTGTGTGTGTGTGAGGACATTTATTACCTACTCTCTCGGGGAACTTCAGGCACACAATACGGTGTTGTTAAGAACCATCACCCTGTGGTACCTGCTGGACCGTTGCGTCCGAATAATGCCACGTAGTTGGAGTCTGTGCCTGACCCAGGCGCCCACTCCCCTCTGCCCAGCCCTGGCAGCCTCATTTGTACCCTCTGCTTCACGAGGTCGACTGTGAAGCAGACTCCACGTGTGAGAGTGAGTGGGTGGGTGAGACCCTGTGGTGTCTGCCCTGGGTCTGGCTTATCCACTCGAGGTCCCCCGGGCTCATCCAGGTGGTCCCCAATGCTGGGGTGTCCCTCCTCAGTGGGCTGAGCCACAGGTGCCCTGCTGCTTCTTCAGTCCCCTCAGTGGGCGCCGAGGCTGCTCCATGCCCTGGCTGCTGTGCAAGGTTCAGGATCTTGAGATGGGACTCCCTGGAGTATTGGAGTGGCCCTAATCATCACGCAGCTGCTCCTGGGGGGAAAGATTTGGTGCCAGCTGCAGAGGGGGTGCTGGGCCCTGGCAGGATGTCTCTGGCCAGCTGGAAGGTGGAGGGAGGGTCTAGGGAAGAAGCTGGGGAACCCTGGAGCCCCACAGGGAGCAGAGACAGACACCACCACCCCGACCCTGGGAAAGCCATGTCTGCCTTTGGCCTTGGAATGACAAGGTCAGGGTTTTTGGCGGCCCCAGGAGCTAACCTAGAGAGGGAGGGGGCTGGGCCGAGGAGCCAGGAGAGCATCCGTCCCAGGCTGGCTGGCCAAGCGAGGAGCGGGACGGGAAGAGTCAGCGAGACCCTGAGGAGACCCAGGTGTGGAGCACCTGGCAGAGGACAGGGTTCCGGGCATCCTCCCTCCTGATGCTCATGGGGCCCAGGACACAGGTGCCATCACCACGGGCATCTCACAGACCAGGAACCGGAGGCCTGAGACGTGACGTCCCTTCTCCACATGCTGGGAAGAGGCAAAGAAGCACCAGGCCCAGGTCAGCCTCGGCCCGTCTGCCCCGCCCTGCCACGTCCTTCTGCCCAAATGCCTTCTGGGTTCCCATTTTTTAAAGGATGGGAACCTCTTTTGGCACTTAAAGGGGCATGAAGAAAAGCAGAGCAGCGATTACTGGGTTGTTCCAACATCACAGAAAGAATTTCCTGTGAAGGCCTTTCATCTGGGCACCAGGCAGGACTCCACATGCAAAGGGGCCAGGAGCTCAGCCTCCGGGTGGTGACCGATGCCTCAGAGAAGGTGGGCCAGCTCCACTGTGAGGTGCAGGAGTTTACCACCCTCAGTCTCTGCCCAAAGCAGAAGGATTTCAGTTGGGTTGCAAAGCACGTGCACGAGGCTGTCCATAATCTGAGGCCTGGCCACGGTCCCTGCTCCTGACCCAGGTCACTTCCCTTCCATCTCCACCCCAGGCTGAACCATCACAGAGGAGCAGACTTCTTGAAAGAAATAAAGATGGAAGGGAGAGAGGGAGGGAGAGGGAGAAACAGAGAGGGAGGGAGACAGAGAGAAGAGGGAGTTGAGTGACAGGTGTCATTTCCTTGCTGGTCCAAGGAGGGACCATCAGGAGCTTCGCCTTCTCCTCACCACGGTACCTGCCTGGTGTTTAAGGTGGTGGTGGCCATCCGTCTAGATTCTCAGAGCCTGGGGTTCCCTGAGCCTCCCTAGAAGGCCTCGAGGGTCAGGGTCCAAATGAGAGTTCCACCTTCCTCCTGCCTAGTAACTGGGACTTTGTTGGGGTTATTTGTCACCAGCCCATCCTGACTGCTACACCAGACATAGACCTATTCTGAGGGCTGTGCTAATAAAAATAGAATGGGCCAAATTAGTGGGTTTAGGAGGTGAGGGAGGTCTGAGTGAGTAAGGTGCATGAAGACAGAGGAGGCAATGTGGAGCTGGCTTCCAAGATTCTAATTGTTGTAAACGCCGAACAAGCCAAGAATGTGATTGGAGTCCACAGCGTGGGGCAGAGGTCTCCGTCATAAAACACGTCATTCCTGAGGCCGGGGTGATGGGAGCTGCCCTCCTCATGCTAAGGACTTTCTACTGAGTGACAGAGCACAGGACCCACGTCCATAGGAGTGGGGAGGAGAGTGGCAGCCTCGGCTTGGCCTGGTGGGGTGGGGAGGCTGGGAAGAGCCCGAGGGGAGGTGGAGGTCAGGGAGGCACAGGGAGGCTTGGTGGTAATGGACAGCAGCGTCTCTGAGCTGTGCACCTGGGAGGGTGAGGACACGTGCCTGGGGACACCTGGATCATGTTTTTAAAGAAATTTGAATATTATTTATTTATAATTCACAAGCATTTCACCTTTAATGACATCAATATTCCATGTGTTTATTAACGTATTTCACTGTTAGCTTTTTCAATGTGAACTTGTTTTACTCAGTAGCACGTTCGACACTTGGGCACCGGCGTGGGACACAGTGGCATGCCAGCCCGCGCCCTCTCCCCTTCACCTCCTGCACACACAGCAAGAGATAAGGCTGAAATCACAGAGCTGGCCTCAGAACGAGATGGCTTTACACAAACACGGAATGAACTCTACATAAAGGTGGCTGTGACGAAGTCTAAGGAGGAGGGTCCTCTCCCCAGGTGAGGGTACATGGTCAGAGCAGCTTAGGGCTCGCCCACGTGGACCAGCGGAACTGTGCACCCTCTCTGGGTCTGGACGCTGACTTCGCCCAACAGAGGTTTCAGAAAAGCCACCAGGGAGCCCCTGAGCTGAGTAGTGATCGGTGACAGCCCTGGGGAACTTCACAGATGAGAGAAGGGAGGCCGTGGATGGAGAGAAAGGGGGAAAGCGAACTTTTAAACATGAATCTCACTGTGTGCACTCCAGGCGCACAGCGTGTCTGCAGACTGGTGGGAGAGCAGTCACCGTAACAAGGCACAGGGCACGTCTGCCCTCACAGAGGCACCAGGCTCTTGTTGTCCCTGTGGTGGGAGCTCAAGTCCACTCATGGTGTGGGAATCCGAGTGCAGCTCCGCTGCCCTACAGTGCTCAGGATGGACCCCAGGTGTCCAGCCTGTTCACCCCCACGTCTGCCCTTTGTGTTTCTAACTCCTGGCCCTGAACCCCCTGTGCTTCCCCCCCCTGCCTCTGGTCTCTGAGCCCCACAGGGAGCTGAGCGCAGGAGACTCTGCCAGACCCACAGACGCCGCCCTCCAGGGAGCGGAGGAGACCTGTCCATCACGTCTCCTTAGAACAGGGCTAACGGTACCTGTCAGGAACTTATTAACTGCCACTTTCCAGTGCTGACAATGTGAAGGGATGATCTATGAAAGCTCTGGGCCCCCTTTGTACTCCGTGCCCGGCCAGGCACCCTGTTCTGGGACGGAGTTAGAGTTAATATTTCCGACTCGTGTGCATAATCCGGCACTTATGTGAATTTAATGCCATTTCCTTCATTTGGGTTTAAATGCTGGATGAATTTAAATCTTAGTTAAATATCACCCATATTCATGGCACAATTTATGTTCTTCTGATATTTTTCTCTCTCTGCTTTTTTTTTTCCCAAGTGTAGAAGCAAGGATATGGAAATTCCTCTTTCGCCCTCAGGCTTGGCAGAAGTATCAGCCCCAGGGAGGCCAGTGTCCGGTCTGGCCCTGGTGGCCCCTCCTGTGGTTGTTCTTCATCCTGGACTGAGACAGAGCATTGATAACGCGGTGGCAGTGAGCGCGGCAGCAGCTGATGACGCTATGTCCCGGGTGGACAATAATTTCCACTTTACTAAGTCCCCACAGCACGCCAACTAGACAGGTGCTATTGCCCTGTTTTCAGATGGGGAAGCTGAGGCTCTGGGCTAAGCAGTCACAAGGGCCTGATCTCCTGGGCTAATTAATCAGAAGAGAAGTCTGGCTCGCTCTTCCCAGTGAGCTTTTTGAGAAAAGGTTTCACTGCACTCAGTGGCTTCTGATAGAGGACAGGAAACTTTCTGCCCAGGGAGATGTGCTGTAGAGAAGATGCTGGGCCAGGAGGATCTCTGGGAGCAGGCAGAGACAGGCTGCAGATGTGAGGCCAGCCCTTGGGGTCAGTGGAGACCACAGAGGGAGTGAGAGCCAACTTGAGCCTGGAGTGACCCTAGAACGGTCTGAATCGGGTCCCCCCTCCCACGTTCGTATGCTGAAGCCCAGGCCCCCAGTTCCTCAGGACGCAACTCCACTTGGAGGAAGGTCTTTTAGGAACAGAGTGAGTTAAAATGGGCCACTGCCCTGGGTTCCGGTTCAGTCTGACGGGTGTCCTTACAGAGAAGAGGTTAGAAAGCACAGAGACATCAGGTTTGCACACAGTGAGAGGGGCTGTACCCCACCAAGGAGGGTCCTCAGAGAAACCAGCCCTGCCTGCCCTCAGACTGAGTCTTCAGCCTTGGGAGCGGGGCGAGAGGATGGGTTTCTATTGCCTGAGGTGCCAGCCTGCTGCCGGGTGCTGCTGTGGCAGCCCCGCAATCCAGGCAGCGGAGGCCACAGAAGAACCTTCTTCGGCTCTGTCTCTGCGGCTGTTTGCCGTTTCAGGAGAACTTGCCAGCAGCGTGGAGAGGAGGCTGGCTGGGGCCTCCTTGGGGTGGCAGTGTTGGTGGAGTCTGGCTTCGGGGATGTGGCTCTCTGGAAACCT